AAAATAAATCATTTCCATTGTGTGCAAATAAAATCGACTTGACATGCTTGCCAATAGCTGGTAGGTAAAGGAAAGTGTGGACTGGCACTTGTTAATTAATTCCTCCTTTGCTCTCCTTTTTCTCCTTTAAGTTGCAATTTTCCTTTGTTAGAGGAGGAAGACGGGTCCGAACCCCTAGGATTTTTCAAAGGCGGATAGAAACAACAGGCACCCAAACTTGAGCGGGGCGGCACGGGGAAAGGGCCGGCAGCGGAGGCGGCGGCTGCAGGGGCGGCTTCCCGCGAAGGTGCCGCGCGGGACGGAGCCCATCTCCGTGGCCTCGCGCGCGGCGGCGAGAACAAACGCCCCGCACGGGCCCCTACCCCGCGCCACGCGTGTCCGTCCCTAGCGCGGGGGCCGCGCCGCGAGGCGCCTCCCGCGGGCGCTAAGAGCAGAGTGGGCTGAGAAACGCCTTTGCTTCGGGGGGCAGGGGATGTCTTGGGGCTGATTTTTTTTTACAAGCTTCTACATAAAAAGTTTACAGCGCGGAGTGCGATTTAAATCTCATTTTAAAGGCTCAATGGAAAGAAAAAAAGAGAGAGAGAGAGGGAGGAAAAAAAAAGAAACAAAGAAAGAGAGAAAAAAAAGCTGTCCTCTCAAGTTACTAATTAAACTACCGTCGCCTTCAGCCCGAGGGCCCACGATTCTCGCTGTTCCCCCGTTCTTCACGCCGCTTCTCCGTCGCGGCGCTGCCTGTTTTACACACGCACCGGCTGTCGCCTCTGCTTGCCCCGCTTACAAGTAAAAGAGCCCCCTCCCGAAGCTGCCCTTACCTCCGCGAGGAAGGAGACGGAAAGGAAAATGGGCAGGGGGGAGCCTTCCCACAGCTGACTTTACCTTAAGACAATTAATCTTTAGTCTTTCACCCTGGGAGGCAGGATAAATACAACGAGAAAACAGATAGGAGTCTCCCCGGTCCTGTAAGGAAAACAGCTGTTCCAAGCACTTTAATGCAAATGAACACAAATGAAGGGTTCAGCTTTTTTTTTTTCTCCTTCTCTTCCAGAGTTTTACTGCACTCCATTTATCAATTGGACTTGACAACAAAAGAAAGAACTGGGGGAAAACCTGGGGCAGATTCAAGTCACTTCCACTCTTTATAAAGGAAGGGGGGGAGCTCCTTAAGGGCAAGTTGTGGGTCTTGTCAGTCCTATTGCAGTATCTTTTTTTTCTTTTCTTTTCTTTTTTAATGCAAGACTTCCTTTTCTATCCCCCTCCACCATTTCATTTTCAGGGTCTCATAAAATGACCGCGGTGATTGCAAAATTAAAGTACGTTTATGACTTTCCATTGAGAAGCTGTCGCGGAAAGCCGTTTATTTTTACAAAATAAAAAGAGAAAGAAATTAAAGAATTTGTTAAAATTAACTTTTGCCTTATAGAAACTGGGGGAGTTATTTATATTCACTCGCTCTGCACACACTAAAAAAATAGCGGAGTAGCTTTGCTAAAAGATATTAAATACACTTATGTGATTTAAAATACACCGATTTACAGCGTGGGGGAAAGAGACCTTGGGAAAAGAGTATGTCTACCTAGGAAAAAGAGAAGAACATTAAGGGCTATCTGAAACATCTACTGGAGCACTGGGGAGAGATCGGCGTTTCAAGGGAGGAGAGAGGGAAAAAAGGGGGAAATGAAAAAGAAGAAAAAACGGACTTGGTTCAGC